GACCCCTGGTGTGACCCGGAAACAGATGCGCAACCGGGTGCCACGAAACCCCCATGTGGTGCGTATTTCAGTCAAAAACAACATGGCGGAAACCGCCTAAATTCTGAGTAAGGGCGAACTTTGACGCGTTAATCCGTGGATGCAGTATAAGTTGAAGTCATTGTTTGAACTACACAAGGTTCTCTGTACCTTTCTGATTACGGAGATACATTGTATGGTCTCATTTGACGTATCGTGACCTTTCTACGACTTTCTGTATGGAGCATTCTAAGTACTCAATCCGGCGCGTCACACATGCATATGGGTCACCATGTTGTGTGGTGACCTGTATGGCTACTATGCCAGTGGCGCGCTACCAAAGGAATATGCTACAAAAAGCAAAGTATTACGTTATTTTGGACCTGAATATGACCAGAAAGTGAATGTAAGTATATTGTTTTTACATGTCTTTACAGTTTTAAAGGTACTAGATTTAGCAAATAGAGTTCAGATGTGCTTTTTTTTTTCAAACCTTTGGCGGCTAGCTATCGCTCAGAGCTGAGGGCTCGAGGGGGAGGGGGGCTACCGCGCATCATCGTGGAGATTCTGTCGCCTGTTGGTAATATATGATCCAGTTCTTCCTAGACTCTAGACCTTCAATGAGTTAGCTTTATTACAGTTACTTTCGGTTGTCAACTTTCGGTTGAGGCCCGTGACATGCCACAGCAGCTTTAAATGGGGTCTCTTTGTATACTGGGGTTGAAGAGCCTCCAACCAACCAGTCCATAATTTAGCAGGGGTTTCTCTTTTTAGCCAACGCCCAGGAATTATCGCACGAATCCTAATTTTTTTGTGTGGTCATGTCCAGAGTGTGGTCCCGCTTGTTCGGACCAAGTTTGAAGCGAATCCATCGAGCTGAACTTAAATAAAACAAAATGTACTGGGTTTTTCCTCCTCTTAGCTTAGCGAACACCCACTTTACTTCTGGGTTTGAAGCGAATGCCCACTACTCCTTGCAAAATATCGGCCCTCACGCAACGCCGGCAAAATCCACCACCACAAACATGTTCATATAGAAGTCCCCTGAATTTCCGCTAAGTTTCTGTGCTTTACAAGCTTTTGAAGTACCCTTTTTTCGGCAAAATATGCGCTGCGACCTCGGCCGCCTCGCGTGTACATACAATGGCCGACGGCCGCGGGTTTGCGGAAAACACAGTCCAGTCCAATCGGCGGAAAAACCAGCCCAGTCCGATTTGGGAGTGGAAAAAACAGTCCGGTCGTTTTTATTGCAGATTTAGAGAAACCGATTTAGCAGCCGGGACTCTATAAGCCTTGTGCACGTGGTTAGTGCAGTGGGTTTAACAGCCTGTGTTCGGTTCCAATCCTGGTAGTCAGGAAGCTCACTTACACAACCCTTTGTGTTTCAGTGGTTTCCATACTGGGAATCGTACCCAGACCATGGGAATGAGAGTGACAAATCCTAACCACTAGCCAAAGAAGTGTAGTGTGGTTGAAGTGCTCCCCATCAGATCAGTCCTACTGTTCCAGGCATTTAAGCCTTGTGGTTAGTGTGTAATGGGTTCATGAGCTGACTAGGCCCACATTGACAAAGGCCTGAATCCGGTCAGCCAGGAGACTGTGCTTTTTATTTATTTTTTTCATTTATAAAGCTTTACAACATTTGTGGGTGGATTGACATGTGACTATCACCTCTTCTAGATGTCAAACATGAGACCAGATTGTAAGGCTCACTTTAGGCTAGAAAGGCTTAAGGGGTTTTGGGGTGGAAAAACGTTTCCGATGGGCTAACCGTTCACAGTCTAAAGGGGGAAAACGGTATTTTATGAGTTTTTAGGAATCGTTTCCGAAACAACCTCCACATTCAGCGGGGGGCCTGAAAACCTTCCTGCTAGGTCTAAAGAGAAAGGTTTCGCGAAATGATTTTACCATATGCTAATGATATGCTAAGTGTGTCATCATCATCATCAGTCGACCCCCCTAGGGGACCGGGGTTTGCCGCTGCACCACTCCTGCCCACATCTCCCGATCTGCCATGGCTGACTTTAAGTCCTCAATGTCGTACCCAGTGTCTCGTAAGAGAACACTGGGGTAGGTCAGTTTTCTGCAGTGTGTTTTCCCCCAGGGCCTCCACAGGATAAGTGAGGAGATGACCTCCTGATCCGTCCGATAGCAATGACCAGCAAACTGAAGTCGTCTTTGGCTGAGTTTTTGGGACACTTTGGGGAGATTTCCATAGATGTTGGTCAATGTTGGATGTTGTTTCCAGCTGAGGTTTTTAGCTCTGCGTAGCAGATTGGTGTAAGTACCGTCGAGTCGTTTTTCTTGGCGTGTAGTTAATGTCCAAGTTTCAGCACCATATAGCAGAATGGGTTCTATAATTGTGCGAAATACTTGTACCTTCAGGTCAGTACTTATGCTAGACCGCCATATATTATCAAGTTTGTTGCACGCATCCCAAGCTAGAGCTTTCCTTACTGTAAAGTCCCTTTCGGTGCCCATAATGTAAGAACCAAGATACTTAAAATCAACAACTTGTTTTATACATATTCCAGACAAAGACTTTAGTTCCACAGGTGCAGGGGTAATACTTGTACTTATAAACTCTGTCTTAGATTCGTTGCAATACAGACCGACTTGTGCAGCTGCTTTCTCAAGGGACTGTAGAAGAGTTTCTGCATCCTTGATTAGCTGTGTTACTAGAGCTAAATCATCTGCAAAGTCCAGATCGGTGAGGTTCACAGCTGGGTAACGTCGACTTCTCCTAGGCTGTATTTCTATACCTTTCTCTTGCATGGTATCAAGAGATAATCGTAGAATATAATCAAGTACCATAATGAAAAGAAACGGTGCTAGTGTATCTCCCTGAAGGACGCCAGCAGTCACTTCAAAGGGACTTGTTTCACCATCAGGGGTGATCACTGTAGCAGTGGTGTCGATATATAAAGACTTGATCGCGTTGATGAAGGGTAAAGGTATTCCATACAGGGGGAGAATTTCGAACATGGTGTTTCTGTCTATAGAATCAAACGCTAAGTGTGTATCTTCTGTTATGCTCGTTTCATTTTGACTTCATACTATGTAGCCATCATTTTCTAGCCATGACATGTCTCTCCCTACCTGAAAAAGGAATTGGCAAACGTCAGTGAAGGGTCTGGAGCACTATCATGCCTGCACTAGTACTGGCATGGGGAGGAAGAAAGTCGGTGCATGCCTGGAAATTGCCCATCCCTGTACATGGTTTGAACCACATACGGGGAAGGTCCCCTACTCTTTTTAGATTGGTGTAGTGGGTTCGCACATGGGGTGTGGCTCTCCCCAAACACGGGACCTCCATTATCGTCCTATCCGAGGGACGCCCCTTAACCAAAGCTATGTACTCACGCCTGAGTGAAGTGAGGAAAGTCATGTAAAGTGCCTTTCCCAAGGGCACAAGATCCTGGGACCTCTTGGGTCTGAGCCGAACATACTACCGCTATGCCACACAACCTCAATCTACTTTTGTTTCACAAACACTGGTGGTCTGTCAACAGCATAACTCGAGAAAGCTCAGATGGAATATCTTGATATTTGGTAGGTGGGTAGGTCTTGATGAGACCTAGAAATGATAAGATTTTGGACCCCCTAGCGGCATGTAATGGTACTGCAGCTGAACTTCCGGTTTTGATATCTCATGATCTAGACAAGCTAGGGTGACGAAATTTGGATGGTACGTAGCTCTTGTGCTGGGGGAGAAGTGGCGTGGGCCCCCTAGCGGCTTGCTAAGTAACTGCAGGGCTATCTTTTTGAAAATATTCAAAAGAGGGTAACTCAAGAACTGGTGGACGGATGGTCGTGATTTTTGGTATGTAGGTAGCTTACGTAACGCTTGACATAATTTTACGACAAGCATGCAAATCTGGATATAATTTGCATAAAAGATGGAGAAATTCTATAAATCAACTGCATTACATTATTCAAGCTTGTGACATATGTAATTGAGAACGAGAGAAACACAGGCAGATACTGATTATGTAAATCAACACAATTTGCACAATTAATGAGAAAATATTATAATTCCATAATGCTAACTGCCTGAAATTTCATATACTTGGGTTAAGTGAAGGTGAACATCATTAAACATAACTTATTCAAATAAGAACCTCATTTGGTTCTTTGTTAAGATAAGACTGCCTTTTGATGGAGAATATAATCAACTGATATAATCCATGCAAATGAGGATCCTATTTGCATAATCAGGAATTATCATCTTTGTCAGTCATAACGATTAATATCATTTGGCGAAGGTATGAGATCGTGGGAATCTAGTTATAGCTGTATCCTCAAGCATCGCGCATCGCTCAATGTGACGGGGACGATTTTCAAGCCCACCAAAATTCTCGGTCGATCTCAAAATTGGGCGACCTTTCGGCGATCAACAGATACGACCAAAGCTCTTCGACAATGTGAAGCGAACATTAGGGATTAATGCACTGTTAATTAATGGCGATGGAATACCAAGATGTTAGTATCATTTGCAATGTGCACAGAGTTTAGAGTAAAGCAATGTAACGAAAACAATGTGTCGTTGGAATTCCGAATGTCATGATTACAGGTTACTTGACAGGTTTGAGGACGAGTCAACCTCTAAGATTTTTTTTTTATCGTTGGTGGAAATCACTAGACGTTATCATTACGTGAAGAATGTTATATTTTCGTGTGTATCTATGTTTGTGTGCGTGTTTGTGATTATCAAGTCGAAATATCATCGATTGGTCTTATTTTTCTTTGGTAATACTATGTTAAAACGTTGTGACATACATAGAAAATCATAAGATTTTGACCTCGTGACGGCTTGCCAATTGGCGTGGATATGCATGGCTCTAAAAATCTAAAAAGCAGGCGGTTTGGTCACAAATATAAACTTTCTACATACTTTAAATTTTAGTTGTTGCAAAATATTATATGAGACTATAATCGAGCTTTAATCTTTCAATGAGGATTAATGAGTGTTTTTTTTGCAGGATCCATTGCACCATGTGGTCCGGATGAAGCATACAACTATTTCCACAAACGATGTGGAGGTAAGTATTCAAGAAACCGCCGATTTGGGCTCATATATTGGTGATAGTTTTATACTTAGAGCGATTTAAAAGTCTATATAAACGGTACAATACCAACGCAACCCCGTATTTGCTTGAATATTACAAACCAACGCCACCCCGTATTTGTTTAGCAATTACTTGTCGAAGCCATAGCGACCCAGTGTTTGCTTTTAAATTACCTATATATCCACGCCATCCCGTATCTGCTTCAAGATTACCTATCCACGCCACACCGTCTCTGCTTCAAGATTACCTATACACACCATCCCGTATCTGCTTCAAGATTACCTATCCACACCATCCCGTATCTGCTTCAAGATTACCTATCCACACCATCCCGTATCTGCTTCAAGATTACCTATCCACACCATCCCGTATCTGCTTTAAGATTACCTATCCACACCATCCCGCCTTTGCTTCAAGATTACCTATCCACACCATCCCGTATCTGCTTCAAGATTACCTATTTGAGCTATTAAGTATTTCTACCCACGCCAGACTTTATCTACTTTAAGATTACCTATTCACGCCATTTCTTATGTGCTTTAAGATTACGTACTCACGTCATCCTGTATCTGTTTTAAGATTACTGATTTACACCAAAAACTTTTATATCTTTCAAGTTCTACTTATATATTGACGCCACCTTGTTCTTTTTAGGAAATGACGTGTTTATGTCACCCTGTATTTTCTTGCGTTACTTATATACTGGGTACATGGTTGAGGGATAGGGACGTCACGGGTCATCATCATTTTAAAAGATTTAATAATAAACCTAATATATTTTTTTCCAGATATAACACCCACCTTGACAGACAGACCTGTGCTTTACAACCCGATCATTGACGAACACTATAGGGTTGTCTACAAGTGTGAAATCATGTACGGCACTCCGGGGGACAACGCTGAGTTTGAAGTGGCTTTCCTGTTCGATGGAGAACTGTATGATGATGTACCTAATGATACTGTAGTAAATACTGGAAATTCGCTGTACGCGAACTTAAATGCCTGGCACCTTGGGGAATTTAGAGATCCTACTAACAATCGACTTATTTGGGAGTCGAAGATGGGGAAGGAGGTAAGATTTTGTTTATATATTGTAATATACATATACATATACATATACATATATATATATATATATATATATATATATATATATAGTAGAGAGAGAGAGAGAGAGAGAGAGAGAGAGAGAGAGAGAGAGAGAGAGAGAGAGAGAGAGAG